TTGGAGATGAGGGTAAACGAGCAGTGGGTTGTGGGAGATGAAAGATCTGTACATTCTCAGGCTAAGCACGTGTATGCAGGGCTTTCTGCTGTCTGTGAAGCCTGGTTTGTACCATAGCTCTGGAACAGCCGCATTCTGCAGGCACGTGGCCAGCTTGTAACTGAGCACAGAGAAGCCTGGGCTGAGGCCTGCAGCATGTGGTGCCTACGTGGATGAGAGGCATGATTTGCTGCTGCTGATGGAAGTGGTTACAGGTGTCAGGCCTCAGCCACAGGTGTGTGAAGAGCTCTGTGGTAGTGGGAATGCTCACCTACTGTTGGCTTGTTTGGCATCAGCAGCTTAATGCAGGTGGCAGCAAAAATCTGTGTTCTGCATCTTCACAGTGCTACACTCTTCCTGATGCTTTGTTCTCTTGGTTCTGTAGCAGAAAAGAAAGTTACTTTCACTGACACTGGAAAAGCCTAAGAGGTGGTATTGGAAGAGAACATGAAAGATGGCAGGCTATAGCAGGAGGGCACAGCTGTGGGAATGGCAGAACCCCAATTTATGGAGAGGAAGAGGGAAAGTGTACGGCCGTGTGCTGAATCCTAGCATGCGTACGTGAGGTCTGAAATTATACAGTACAAAGAACCTCTATTCTCTTATTTCATAAAACATTACAGGCTTTATAATTCTCTTATTTAATGTGTGTATGCATGTATGCATCCATAAAAACAATATTGCGCTCAGTAAAGAATAATGTTCTTGTTTACTATTGTGATGAGAACTTGCAGGTGTGTCAACTGCAGCAGGAAGTTGTTAGTGAAACCTCAGAAGTTCCTTATTTTTTTTATATTTGTTTGTTTTAATGGCACTTGCTTTGTTTTCCTGTGTTATAAATCATAGCCCCAAAGTTTGTGAAGTCATCACTTACTCTGCAGCCCATTTCCTCTTCACTGCTGTTTCCTTCAGGTCTTGCAAACGTGTAGAGAGGAGGCCTGAAAATGTAGACCTAAATTCTCCTATCTAAGTCTTATTTATTAGATAAGAATAGACTGAAACTGTAATCCTATTACAGCATTCTTTCTATATCAAATCTAAAGTGAGGTGATGAGAACGGGATGTCCACTGATAGCTTTGGCCATCAGAAAAAGTTCTTTATATTAAAAAAAAAAAAAAAAAAAAAAAGCAACCTGTTCATTTAAGTACTGCTGAACATACCAGTTATTGGAGTTACACAGAAATAGTAAAATCGTGTCAGAAGTGACAATTAGTTCTTCCTTTGCATGTGAAGTGTAGCACCTACCCTGAGTGCAGAGCTAATCCACTGGATTTGTAGAGATTAGGTTCCTGACTTTTTTGAAACTGGGATTTGAGCCTGTGCAGTGCCATATGGATGATAAATCTATTGTTACAACCACAGAACGCAATTTAGGATGGTGCTAAATACGCTGGCTGTGATCCAGCAATGCAGTTATGGGTGTATTTTACTTCAGAAGTGCTGTGGAATCCCATTGACTGGAATTTGGCAAGGAGTGGGAGCTCTGCAGACTGCCTGGTGGTGTGACAAAAGGCTGTCTGCTATCCCCAGGAACTTGGAACACGAATACATCTCTGGGGTGTCATATCATTTATAAGGAAAAAAATGAGGCCATTGGGGGGGAAAAAATAGTAGTATATCTGTAGAATAATTCAGGAGACTTTCTGAAAAGTAGTTCTCTGAAATAGTGAATATACTAGTTTTGATTAGAGAGAGAGATTTTGTTAATCCCCTTCTTCCAGATGTTATCTTTTTTTTTTCTTTCTTAAGGAATCTTTAGGTTTAAGGAATGCTCAGCAGCTGCTTTTTCTTCTATACTAAATGATGATTAATTTTTGGATACATTTCTGCCTAGGAGGACTGGTTTACTACTACACTTGGCTGTCTTTTTGCTGAGCCTTTGCAGCCTCATTTTTGACAAGGTGTTGGTATTTGCTTCTTAAAGATGATGAGAATTAAGATATTACTGATTCAAACAGTGTGCTGCTGAACAAAATACCAGAAGACAGTGATGGAAGTACCTAACTAATGAGAAAACAGCTATGCCTGTACGTCTGCCCGTGGAATCTCCCTTGAAGTAAGGTCTGTGCTTGTCTGTTAGGCCTTACTCCAGCAGTGGTCCATATGTAGCAAATGATGTGGTCCTGCTGAGCACAAATTATATGGCTGCTTGCATCTTGGCTCAGAAACTTGGATCTGTACAACTGGTTGCTGAACTTATTGGCATCTTTTGTCAAGACTGCAGTAAATTATGGTGCTTGTGCTCAGACTTTGTTTTTCCCCCTGAGTTCTGAGGCGATGTTCCAATTTTCCCATTATGAGTGGCATGGTTTTATTTGCCCCCCAGTTGTCATTCACCATGTTACTTCCATTAGTGCAGCAGTGTATAGTTTGCATTTGGAAATGCCCTTTTTGTGAGAGAAAGAAGAACAGTATTACATTTTCATCTGGCAGTCCCTACTACTCTGTCAGTGCTATAGTGATGCACTTGCTGTGTGAGAGGCTGCAGGTGTGCCCCGAGCAACTTCCAGAGAACAATCTCAAGAATAACTTTATTTATTGCTTGACTTACTTTCCACAGTTAAGCTCAACAGCCATTTTTCTGTATCATGTGTCTGCTTTTAACAACAGAAGAGCTTGCATGTGATGATTACACCTGCAGTCTCTAGCATTCACTTAGCTGATTAGAAGAAGTTGTGTATGCAGGTTGTACCTTATGGCTGACTATTGTGCAAGCTCCAAAGTACGAATCCTCTGGTCCATTGAAATCTGCATCAGAACAAAGAGAGAAGCTGGTGATGCAGGTTGTCATTTTCATTTCTGTTTGAATGCTTGATGTTCTGTGAGAGAGTAGAGAGTGGATAGGAAATGACGTGGTTCTTGGGTTCATTACACAAGGTGGAAATTCTTGTAAATCTACAAAATTATCTAACGTTGTTAGACTAGTCAGGCCCAATATTGAATATCAAATTACTTGCTGGTATAAAAACAACTAACTGGACAGAGAATATGCTGATCGTGTCTTTTCTGTCTTTAATGTTGTTGTCTTTAGGTCAATTGCATGTTGGGAATGGTCTCAGAAGCAGAACAGTTATGCCAGTGTTAGCAGCTTAGCTGTGGACACAGCTGTTTCAGTGAGACTTGGCAATGACTTCTCTAATGCCAATGAGGCAATATCTGTCTGCAGATCTTTGATGTGGGATGCTGTGTATTTGTGGGTATGAAGGTCTGTTCTGCTGTCAGCCGGGAAACAGCACCATCTATTTCCCCTGTTTTTCTGGAAAGCAGATAATGAGATTGAATCATGCTCTTGTGAAATGAAACTCCTTGAAAGTGGACGGCGTGCTGACTGGCACCTGATGGAGTTCTTATGTCAGCATTCACTTCCTTTAACAGAAACGAGTTTTGGTGAACAATTCACCCTTTAGTTTCTCGTCAGCTAGGCACACAGGCTTTTTACCTTTGATCCTGGTTAGCTTCTCTTGAGGCTCGGTTAAGTACAAAAATGATAGTCTTGGCTTTGGTGCCCTCTTGTGGTGCAATGCGTTGGCCTGGCTGCCGTTTTACAAGGGAATTAATAAGTATACGAAGTATTGTTGCAGCTCAAAGTGTCTTCGGGTAGCTTACACCAAACCAAGTGACTCTTTTATTTGCTTCGAATGAGCACTTCTGTGTATGGCAGGTTTCTTTAGCTGCCTCCATGTAACTGAAAGTACTTCTGTCCACATTCCAGTGACTAAGGACCTATTATAGGTAGAAGGTCTGGACACATGGGCAAAAGGTGTTATATTTCAAGTTGCTGGTTTACCTTGTGTTCTCCTGCCTCAGTGGTACAGCTGCTTCTACTTAAGAGGATCCAAAGTTAGATACAAGAAGGCTTTAGAGATAAATCAGACTCCTAAGTATTTGTGATTTGTCTGTGTAAAAGTATAGTCTTCTGTACTTATGTATATATTTTTATCCTATTAACATCCAATCAGTATCATCACTTAATAATTTCATTTTTTTTATGCCCGATTGTCTACTATTGCAACTTCTTAAGAATTTTGTAATATGTTCACAACATCCTCTGTATGCATGCATTGGGTTTGCACACATGAACTGTGTTTTAAAGCAGACACTGGGAAATCAAGCTTATAACATCAATCACATCATAATGGCAACACATGTTTGTTTGCTTGACTGTTCAGCATTTCAAAAGGTTCACCTGATTTGAGATCTGGAAGAAACCTATGCTTGCATGTAGTGGACAGCATCCAGTTTGGGTCTTAAATGTTATGCTTCCCAGATAAGTCAAGCAGCATCTCAGGGACTGGTGGGCACCACTGAAGCTGCTTAGGGAAGGGTCTGAAGGCAGAGGCTGCAGAGCTGGGCAGCTGCAAGGAGCAAGCACACAGCCTTACTTCCTAGCTGGAGCACAGGGCTTCTTGGGGCTGAGTCTGCTGCAGATCCCTGGTCATGCTTTAGCAACCAGAACCTGCCCTGAAGGACTCACTTGGACAGGGGAACAAACCTTTCTGTTCCTTCCCTCTCCCTCTCCCTCTCTCTCTCTCTTTCTGCAGTAAACTTTTTGCTTTGAAATTTGGTTTTAAAACGGAATAAATCCTAAGATGTGTTTCATATGCCAGATTTTGTTTATCTGGGGCCTTTTGGGAAGTGGTTATAAAAGGTGGTGTGGGTGGAGTCTGTTCAGGTCTGGCTTAGTTGAGATTTCTTTTTGCAGTTTTTGCGGTAGGCAAATGCTAACTTCCTTGTGCAGTTTTGATTTGATAATTTCTGACACCACAACTCTTTGAAGATAAAATAATCCATACAACATGAAGTAGGATCACTCACAAGTTACCAGTTGTGTTTAAGATAATGCACCACCAATGTCATTTCTGTGTGTCCAGATTATTTCTGTTGGAATGAGTATTTGTTTTCCTTCTAGATTTTTATGAAACAATGTGTTACACTGGGTGTTCTTCTGTTTGTTTTGCAGCTTCCTTATTGTGCTGATATGCCTTATCTTCAGTGTGCTTTCTACAATTGAACAGTATGCAGCTCTTGCTACAGGGACGCTGTTTTGGATGGTATGTATTAATGTGATTGTGTGTTTGTTCTTAACATGTAAATCCTCATCTGAACCAATGTCATAGGCACAATGCTCTGTATGGTTTAGAAAGAAGCTTTTTTCTGCTTTTGCCTAATGAGTCTATAAAGCCCTAGGAAAAAATCAAAAAGTTATGATAGTACAAAAAGCCTCTCAGATCCTACATAGCCTATAATAAGGATGTTCAAATTGTGTCCAACTCAAAGCTATTCTGAAGTTAAACCTGAATCCCTCATATTGGTTGTGTGAATCCATTGTTCAGCCTTGCTGAATACCAGACTTCTCAACGTGGTTAGGGCCGGGGATGTGAAGGGAATAGAGTAAGTGGAAGTCCTCTCTTCAAGCAGAATTCAGATCCAGCCTTCTTTCCCAACTGGTAAGCTGCTTTGCTTTCATTAACTTGAGAATTATGCCAACTTGCTCTGCTTGTTCTATGCAGCTTCCCTTCAGCAATGAACATTTTGTTACCTTAGGTTTATGGTTCACTGATGCTGCAGCAGTTATATATCAAGCTATGTTCTAAGAGTACTGCTGTCCTGCCTGTTTAGACTTCATTCAAGAACCTTAGTTTTGAAGTCTGAGAGGCACATTTTTCATCACAGGAAAAAAAAATAAAATCTTAATTTGTTGTACCTCAGTGGTAATTGATGTATCCCCTTCTAAATCATTGGTTTCTTTGTATTTGCCCATTATTTAACCATTATTTTACTCCTGAAAACACTGTCACTGTATTGAGAAAATGCTAACCATCAATTTGTTTGCTCAAAATAGTTCTTGCAGTTGTGCACCAGTGATATCAGTATTATGTATATCATTAACGTAAAAATGTTCACTCAAAATATTGTTTCAAACCGTGAATTCAATATATGTGAAGTTTTTATACTACATTTTGAGTAATATAAGAAAAAGCACAGCATATGAGTGTTGATCACTTGTCTTTCTGTGGAATGTATCTTCATGCCTGCTGTATTATTTATAACTAACTGGTAAGTTGTTTGAATACCTGTGTTACAACTGTGCAGTTAGTTAAAGGGAGTCCATACCTGTATTTTTGCATCCAGTATCTTACTTGATTTATGGTTTTCTTTTTGTATGGATTTAAGGTTCCCTTTTATCCAAGTAGTAGCTGTAGATACTGTCAATTTCTGTGATCAATTTAAACTGTGATGATATCTCCTTGAAACATTCATTTGTGATGTATCATGATATTTTCATGATCATGCTGTTGCTTCAGTGAAAGAACTTCTAGTGACAGCGTGACCATTACGTTTTGTTTTTAGTGTTCTTTTTCCTTCACCCTTCACTTTTGATTTTGTGAATGAGATCATGGAAATCATTTTGCGTGTTCACAACGTATTCTTTTCCTAAAGGATTAACTATAATGATTTTAAAGAGACTCAAATTGATTGCCAGTGATCCACTGATCCAAAGCAGTGGATGGGCCGATGCGCTCTGTGCTCTATCCAGTTTTGGTGAGACTTCCAAAGGAGCTGTGGTACCTTCCTCAACAAAATTTAAGCCCCAGAATCTGGTTCCTATTAGCTTCTACCCAAATAAGTTTCTTATTCTGTCCTTATTTTAAGGTTTTCTTGTTTCAGTAATAGTCATAGAAGATGTTATAACTAAATGAAAACAAGATCTAAAAGGGATGTTGAGATTGTGCGTATATATGAACACTTTCTAGTTCTTCAGTTTCATAGTACTGAAATATTTTAAAATCACCTCCCACTACCAAAGTAGAAGATCTATTTTCAATAATTTATAAATTATTTTTCAATAATTTCTGAGCATTTTAAAAACGTTAATGCTTTCTCATAACAATAAGGGAGCCAAAGACTACTGGGGAAGTTTGTGTTCCTATCGTGTTCCAGTTGTAGACAAAAAGCTCACAATTAGCCATTGAATCTTTCTCTGCTTGTCACCACACTTCACAAGGCAAAGAACCTTGATGAAAGCTATACCTAAATGCAGTTGTGATGGGAGAATAGGAGAGAATTGGGCTTTTGTTAGCTTCCAGAAGGCAGTGAAAACTGTTTAAATTAGCATGCGTTTATTTTATCGTTTTTCACTAGATGGTGCTGTTGGAGGGGGTTTAACTGCAGTAACTTGTTGGCAGTTGCCCAGCGAGAGCTGAGACTGAGCCAAGGCTCTGAAAGGATCATCATTTTGAAGGGTGTATGTATACTTGGCCCATTCTAAATAGTGGTGCGGGAGAGCTTTTGCCATGACTCATAAAGAGAATGTAGTATATCTGTGCAAAAATTGATTTTGAGACTACAATATTTAAACTATGGAAAAAAGTAATTCGGAGATGTATGTTCCCAGAGAGGCCATATTTTTCTTTTATTTTCATAAGCAAGGATTTTACGGTGCCAGAACACAGCAGAATGCTGTTATCTCAGCATGATCTAAGAAAATCCAAGTGCCTGATCCAAGGGGATTAAATATTCTGCTGAACGAAGGGATATTTAGTCTGCCTGAAAATGCTATTTTCTTGTAGGAATCTCATTTCAATATTGATTCCAGAAAAAAAAAAAAAAAAAAAGTGACTGTTTTAGTGATGAAATTATAAGCACTTTCCAGCTTTTTCTTTTGAGTTCCTTTCTTACCTCAGAGTACTGCTTACTTGAAGAGATAAAAGTATTTTTTAAATACTAAAAATGGCTTCAAAGAAAAAAAAATGTAATATGTTCAGTGGTTAATATTTGTGTTATTAGCAGTGAAGGAATCTACACAATTGTGAGAGAATGGCACAGAATTGAGGCTTATAAGAAGCCCAGGTTTTATTTCTTGCTTTAATATAAGCTTTTGTTTGAAGTTCAGCCTTGGCTTTCTTTCTTTTTTTTCTTTTTACTGGGTTGTTTTATGGGCCTTGAGAAAAATACCTACAGCTTTTGATTCTGAAGAACTCACAGAGTTCAAGTGGTTCAGCGTGGTTCTAGCATTTTTTTCCTCATTATCTTCACTGTTCATGAAGCCAAGACAGGAACTTGTAATCTGAGCATTGATAGTTGTTCTCGTTTTCATTGCTCTGAAAAATTATATGAGAGTATTGTTTGTAAAGGATTTCCCCATACTGTGCAGTGCAGACTGCAGTCACTGATGTAGGCAGTCTCTCTGAAGAGTACTGCACTTCTGAAAGCAAAAGACTTGGCAGCCTCAGCAGTGTCCCCTGGCCCTGACCTAGAACAAGGTCGACTGCTGTAGCAGATGTGCATATGGTGAACTCATGCCTTCAGACCTTTGCTTTTGTAGGACTTGCAAACAGACTTGTCCAGAGAATCACCTTACTATCACTCAATCGATAGCTGAAGTTTGAGAACCCAACTGTCATTCGAAATTGCCTTCTGTGCATTTTAGTTAGCCAAACGTGAGTGACTTGAAGGCTTAGGAAAGAGCAGACATGAAAATCATCCTTTTCACATTTTCCTCTGAACCCCAGTATTACTGGCTGCTCTGTTTGTCCTGGTGGATGATGCAAGTGTTTTGTTGCATGGTTACAGTCATTTAGCCCTGCAAGCAGCTAAACACCACAAGGCCTTTAGCTTTCTTGTCTACTCCTAGTGGGATAGGGGAGAGAATTGTGGGGGGAAAAAAGATAGAATTCATATGTTGAGATAAATACTATTTACCAAGATGGAAAAGGAAGAGAGAAATAACAGTAATGATAATAATATATATGTATATTAACAAAACAAGTGATGCACAAGTCAATTGCTCACCACCTGCCAACTGATGCCCATCCAGTCCCTGAGCAGCAGAAACACCCCTCAGCCAACGCCCCTCACTTTTATATATTTTTTTCACAAGATTTCATATGGTATGGAATATCCCTTTGGTCAGTTCAAGTCAGCTGTCCTCTCCCTGCTCGTGTTCCCCCCAGTCCTCTTGCTGGCTGGATAACTCACAAAGCTGTAAAGCTGAAATGTCCTTGGCTGTAGATAGCACTGCTCAGTAACAGCTAAAACATCGGTGTGTTATCAACACTGTTTTTCTCCTGAAGCTAAAATATTGTATTACACCAGACACCGTACAGAAAATCAACTCTGTCCCAGCTGAAACCAGGGCAACAACCAGCTGGGTTGGTTTGGATTGCTACTTGTGGTAACTTCTTCAATTGTTCCTGCTGCTCACAAAGCAATCCCTTGTTAACTCCCCTGGTCTGTGCAGGAAAGTTGTAGATTTTATGTAAATTAGATGTTAAAGGGATTTAATTAATTTGCTTTGGAAGGCTGTGACCATTTTTTAGTTGAGTTTAAATACAGCTTTACATCCACCTTGAGCAGGTCTGAGGGATGCAAATCAGAGTGGTTGTGAAGTGGGAAGAAGACAGATTATTAGATAGCTGAGCCAATGTAGTGCTTAGGAGATGAAGGAAAATAGGAAGGGAAAAGAAAGCTTGTTAGTATTGTTTGGTATAGCTGAAGTCTGAGCAGAATAAGAATGGCAGGAGGGAATGAAGAAGAAATATGAAAGGAAAGTGTGCAAAAACCAGTAAAGGAAGGATGAAAAGTTTTTCCTTTCAGATGTGCTGCAAGTCTAAGCTCTTAACTGTTGTAGAAGGGAGGCACAGCTTTCTCTTTGAAATCTGTAGAGGGCAGCATTGGACCGTGCTGTGTCCCATTTGGAGTCGCTGGGTTCAAACCTTGGATGGTGTCCTGAAATAGGTAAAAATATCCTTTGGAAGAAGTGAACTATTAATAAAGAGATGGCTTTTCACATGGATTTGGGGAACTTTATACGAGTAATAAAAAAAAAAAAATTCTCCTGGGAGATAAGGGTTGAAGAGAAGGGCTGTGTAAATGTTGCTGCCGGAGACAACTCTCGCCACTTTGTGGCTGTAGCCACAGAGTTCATGTTGTTTGGCCTACCTGATTTCTCATCATGTGGATGGCTGTAAGGAACAATTACAGCTTTCAGTGAGAGGAATTGGGCACATCTGCATGAAGGAGAACGAACCTACTGAAAGATTTCCAATAT